GAATTTAATTAAAATGCTTAGTTCGAAAAATAAAAGCATTTTAAAAATTCTTTCCCTTATCTCACCGGAAAGGAATTTTGAAACCATCATCATTTGGATAGTTCTTACTTTCGCCATGAGGGTCATCTTTTTTTTTGAAGCCGATTTAAAATGTTGCGGCAAAATAAATTAACAGGTTTTTTTTTTAATTTGTTAAAATGAATAGGCTGAAAATAAGATAAAACGTCATAACATATTCCAAAAAAATGACTCAAGTCTCCCCCAACTCTCGATATAGAAGGAACAATCGAGTTATGTAGTTAAATAAAAAAAATGTATCAAGAAAAGTCAATTGCACTATAAACAACCGGTGGAAACTAACGATATTAAATTGGCTCACTACTTGACTAGCCTATTGGTCCCAAGCAAATCGATTAACTTACCAAATTCTAGTCGAAATTCTAGTACTAAACTATGTTTGTTTTGTTTGTTAGCTATGAAAGTTTGACAGATAAAATGAGGGGTTCGTGGATTTTCCTAAGAGAAGAGGTGACAATACGGGGGCGAAAATGAACCACTTTTCTGTCAAACGTGAACCAGCTCCTGATTGGCCGATTTCATGTACGTAAGATAAAGATAGAGATAGAAATAAAAGAGGAAGAAGTGCTCATTTGCCATAAGATATATTTTTTCCAAATAGCCATTTGTCGTAAGGGTCATTTGGCATAACATATACAGGAATGAAATGAAATGTATGGGAAAAAAGTGACCATCAAATTGTTCAAACCGACCGTATACAAAATGTTCATTGCCTCGACGGTATGCAAAATTTGGGCTCAACCGGACATGATGTGGGGTGACAAAGTTTGAACTTTTTTCATCTGAAAAATCTCCCAAGGTAGGGAGGGGTACATGAAATTCCGGAGATCGTTTTTTTTTATATCAAATTACTCTCTGAATAAGATTCGTTTTCAGTGAATGTAGACTTCTTGAGCAAGCCTTTTAAGTCAAATGACACTAGCGCTGCATGGTGAGTGAAACCTGAACTGAGAGGCCAATCATTCGATAGGTCTTATCCATCCGAATAACTTAACTGAATAAAGAAACCTGCTTTCTGGTCGTGCTGTCAAGTTAAAACCTGGAATTTGATATAACTTGCGCAATGAGCATGATCATCTAATAGATCTTGTGCATTGAGCATCACTTTTTTCTAGCCGAAATGGCAAACTACACTGAAAACGAATCTAACTCAGAGAGTGAGTCACTTTTTTCCATTTGTATGGAGAAATTTCTAAAAGTATAGGTTACTCATGCGCTGAGTTAGTTTGGTTATTGCAAAACGATGACTGATTTCAAACGATGACTGCAGTTAAATGTTCTACGTTTTCCTTACTTAAGCATTAAGATTAGGATTATAAGCCCCATCTGTTTCCTGTATTTTGCTGATGTAGAAAAAAGCAAAGAAAAAAATACATAGAGTATTGAGTGGTACCGACTCGCCTCTTTGTTCTGTCGATAGTCATAGCAAGCGCGCACGTGATTGGTTGATTAAGGCTAAAAACTTCATTTTTCAATAGTTAACCGTTAACAGTTAACCATTGATAAACAACTATCATCTTTTTACTAAACAAATCTTACATTCAATCTGAATAAAATTGTGTAATTAAAATTGAATTTCATTCATAAATGACCATGTGTGCCTGCTCAAAACTGTTCGAGATTATCATAAATGGTGCTCTGTTCGCACGCTGCAAAAATTATATCGATACAGAACAACACGGTTTCTACCCGAAGCGCTCCGTGTGCACGAACCTGGTGCACTTCACTTCTAACTGTCTGCGATGCATGGATTCAGGATGGCAAGTCGATACTGCGTATATGGATCTAAAAGCTGCATTTGACACGGTGGACCATAATATCTTGCTGGCCAAGCTGGAGATACTTGGCATCTCGTCAACTGCTGTGGATTGGTTCAGATCTTACTTGGTGAATCGCTATGTACATGTCAAGATTGGCGCGTCGGAATCGGATGTTTTCTCAAACAACTCGGGAGTCCCGCAAGGCAGTAACCTAGGACCGCTACTATTTTCGATCTTTTTAAACGATGTCGCCTTGCTGATACCATTAGGATGCCGCGTTTTCTATGCAGACGATACGAAAATCTACAAAATTATTAAAAGCCTCTCGGACTGCTGGGATCTCCAGAATATGTTAGGTATTTTTGCTGACTGGTGCTCAAGAAATTTGATGAGTCTAAGCATAGAAAAATGTAACATTATTTCCTATCACCGAAAAATCGAACCAATCATGTTTGACTATGTTCTCTACAGACGCTGTCTTGCTCGTGTAGAGCACATAAAGGATCTCGGCGTTACCTTGGACTGCAGACTCACTTTCAGAATCCACTACAATGACATCATCTCCAGAGCTAATCGACAATTGGGCTTTATTTTCAAAATTGCCGACGAGTTTCGTGACCCGCTATGTCTCAGGTCACTTTACTGCTCGCTTGTGCGATCCTTATTGGAGTCAAGTTCAGTTGTTTGGTGCCCTTTCCATGCTAGCTGGATCACTAGAATTGAATCCGTTCAACGCAAGTTTGTGAGATATGCTCTTCGTTTCCTCAACTGGCGTGACCCAACGAACTTGCCACCGTACGAGGAGCGTTGCCGTCTCCTGGGAATCGAGCCATTAGAGGTGAGACGGACGGTCGCTCAAGCTATGTTTGCTGGAAAGCTGCTTACAGGTGACATTGACTGCCCAACACTGCTGTCACAGCTAAATATGTATGCCCATGAGAGGTCTCTTCGTCAACGCGACTTTCTGTTTTTGGAACCACGGAGCCGGAATTATACACAACACGAGCCAATTCGAGCAATCAGCCGGTAATTCAACAACTTTTTTTATATGTTCGACTTCAATGTATTAGCTGACGTGTTTCGTCATCGGCTACTTGGCCTTTTCCGTACCGTTGACCGTAACTATTTAGTTTAAGTTTTATTCATTTAGACAGTATTTGTCAGTTGAATTTTTCAATAAACAATAAACAATAAACAATGTTGTAAGCGTTCAAAACCTAACACAATTTCGTTACACCAAAGACGTAGTCCTACGTCAAAAAGTTCTAACTTTGACGATTCTGTGCCACCCCAAAGCATGTCCTCTTGAGTCCAAATTTTACATAGGGTATTTTTTCAAGGCAATTATCATTTTGTATATCATCGGTTTCAAGAAATGTTTCATTGGATATGATGATATGATGATGATAGTGGTTTACCACCCATTGTAGCACGGAAACAAAGTCCGACAGCAGTGGGCTCTCTTCTCTGTTTGTCTTGATCAAGCTTAATAACCTCTGATTGTCCTCAACATGTCGCTGTATGAAGGGCCAAAAATGGATTGGGTAGATTGATAAGCAAAGTCACCTATACACATTTAAGGAACAATAAAGAATCTCCTTCCAGCAACTTGATCAGCCAATTGGTCAAAAAGACAAGCCCCAAACAGAAGAGCCCGCCCTTTATCCACGAAATGTTATCAACAGGGAGTTGGCATTCCCACTCTTCCCGTCCAAATCCACACTCCACAGACCCTTCCCTGAAATGTTTCATTGGCACTCTAAAGAATACGCAAAAAAAATATTTTTTTATATACAAGAGAATATTCCTTTTCTTGAATTTTCTCTTCTGAAAAAACAGCTCATGTTTAAAAGTAGGAAGAATCTCCAAAGGGCTCTTACAGGGCTGGTAGCAGGTCACTTTCTAGTTGCTCACTATTTACAAGTCAGTCACTAATAAGCAAAGCGAAGCGAAGAGGCGAGCAAAGCGATGAAACGTTCCGTTCCGCTCATGTACGCTGATGTCTGAATGGATCATTGAAGATGCTGAGGTTTTGACAGCACCGTACTGTGGCTACCACAGTATTTTACATTGGTTCGTCCGTATACAGTAGCGCCAAATGAAAGCTGTGGTGGGTTCAAAACTCAGCCATCTAAAATGATCCATTCATATTGAAGCGTCGTCATCGGCCAAGCCGGCAAAGCGTCAGCCAGCCAGGTGATACGAATGGATCATGTTTTCTACGTCTCGGTCATAGTCACGTTGCCTACCTGCCTGCGATTGTGTTGCTTTATTTGTTTTGGACTTTGTTAGTAGCGGCTTTATTTTTGTTCCGGATTAATGAGGAATAATGCATACCTAGTGCAATTAAGGTGGTGAGTCAAAGCATGGGCATGTTTCACGTGAGCTTCTTTGACTATACGTTATCAATACTCATTGTTAGTAAGTAGTAGGTATGTTGCACATTAACTTAATGATATTCTTGGTCACGGTATAAAAAGCCTAGTCTAAAGAATTCTTTCTTGATGTCCTTCTGATTCGTCGACATTCGAATTACTGCTTACTTTATAGTTAGCACATTTTACAGTCTACGTATCCCTCTTCGATATACAGTGTCAAGGTACAAGAAAGAATTTAAAGGATAGCGTAGAATTCACATAAAATTACTGTATATATATTTACATCATTTTGTTTAATCACTCATTGTTTACGTAAGCTGCCAATTAGCGGACACACTTGCCTTTAATTAGCTTGTTTTAATTATGGTTCTACAAGTTGCAAACGATAAACAATTGCGTTACTCTGAGAGTAAATGCACAACTGGTTGTAGACCGCTTTTTTTTTCCTCCTTAAATCTTGTTTGTTTTTGTCAAGTTTATCATATTATAACTGTACACATACAAAACGTCTCGTAAATGACCTTTCTATATTTATCACCCAACCGAGTCATAATACGGGGTTTCCCACTTAACGTTATGTATTTTCGGTACATGTGTTCTGGGAATGCGTCATCCACCTGAGAATCAAACTAAGCTTCTTTTTTGCGTCGTTTCCCACATTTTTGTCCCTTTCTACCCACACCAGCACCACTCTACCTTACATATACGGATGCTTTCAGCTGATTGAATAAACGTGCTAGCATTAAATTTAATTTTGTCTCGTGTTTCTTGTTCTTCTTTCCAGCTACGACATGGTGCACTTTGGACATGCAAATTCGCTTCGCCAGGCAAAAGCTCTCGGACACAAACTAATCGTTGGAATCCATAACGATGCAGATATCACCAAAAACAAAGGTCCACCGGTATTTACCCAAGAGGAAAGGTAAAGGCCCCACTTCGGGGAATCAAACGAACCACTTCACGGGTCAGGTTATCTTATCATCGGAAAGCACATGTCGTCCAGAAGATGACGTAGGTATTACTCGTGGTATGGCCCGTCGACAGCAAAATCAAATGTATTTCATTCATACATGAACTGGGTCGATTGTGTATTACTTAATCCGGCATTGTGTGTGTTTTTTTTTTGCCACTCGAGTTGATTCAAATTGTTTCAAAGGCCCAATTCTGCCCCATCAGTAGCGTATCGAACTGTGAAGAGGTTAATGACATTCAAACGAGGTCCAAGCCCAGCCAGTATAAATGCGAACCAATCGTACGATTTCTACTAAGTAGGTGCCTTATCGAGGCCGGAACGAAGCAGCGTGCTCGTCATCTATATCAAGAACCTATTTATCACCCTTATGAACTCATAACTTTGTGGAATGAAGACTAATACAGTGTCTTCCCGTTTTTGACAACACAAGCTTTTTGTTATTTTGCTTTCTATAAAACCCATCGAACACTTCATTGAATTTGTGATCTTACTGGACCATTATTCAAGGAATATATATTCCAAGAAAAATTGTCCAGAAAGCAGTAGGAAAAATCTGACGAAAGTATTAGCTGACGATGTTGTGTTGTCAAAAGCAAGAAGGCACTGTGTCTCCATTCGTGCCAAAGTGGCCGACAAACACTTTGGCGAAGAATTCTAGAAATTCCACACCGAGAGCCAACACATCAAAACCTAACAACAGCTCATGCGGAGCACAACGGTGATAACGAAACCCAACACAGCAAGGCAAAAAGGCGATTGAAACAAAACACATGCACCGACAGCCTATCTCTGACGAAACAGTAGTAAAATGCTCTTGTCGTACAGCGAACGGACTTTGTTACAGAATCGAACGATTTGCGCGCGCTTTCGGCCAAGCATCTGCGCTGCTTTAATCGAAGATCCGTGTTATTGGTGTGTGCTTGCGTCGCGAGCACCTCGCAGTGGACCAAAGAGAGAAGAGGTCCAACGTTATCTCTGTAGGACCAGTGCGATAGCGCGTAAATCGAACGACGACGTCGACGATGTTGGCGATGCTAGACTCGGAAAAATGGGGTGATCGGGATCAATTAATGTTATCTCTTTTACGTTTCATGTGCCTCATGGGGTTGGATGACATTGCAAAGTACCTATATTTATTTTTTCGCGATTAGCTCAATTATTATATTTGCATTCGCCGCGAATTATGTAACTTTGATAAAGTCATTAGATCACCAGTCGAAACGACGACGAAAGTGATAACGACATTCTACGAGTCAACGATAACCTGCCCCGGGGGAACTCCGTTTGTAAATGTTATTTTTGGAACGACACCAGATAAGCACAGCTCAATTTTTGCTTTTAGATACAAGATGGTCCGAGGAATCAAATGGGTGGACGAAGTTGTGGAAGATGCTCCCTACGTGACAACGCTGGAAACCCTAGACAAACACAACTGTGATTTTTGTGTGCACGGAGGTAGGTGTAAAACTATTTCACTAGTACAAAGCTTAGTTCTCCTCACAAATATTAGTAAAAATTATTATCTAGTCAAAAATTATAAACTGAAAAAAATACTATTTTTTCTGCCCATAAAATTTACCACGGTTTAGGTTCAAGCTGCTTACCTAAATTCAGAGTTAGTCCGGTTTTGGTCGATTTATGGTAAATTACAGTGAACTCTCCACAACTCGATATTGAAGGGACCATCGAGTTATAGTACAAAGTTATCCATAGGAAATTGCCATCGCAGTAGCCTTGAAATGTATTTTATATGGCTAATGTACAAAATCGAAATTCTGAAAAAATGAGGTTGATTTTCTGTGAAAATCAAGTCAATCTCGAGAATATCGTTTGTACCTATACTGCCGCTCTTCGCATGTCGGTCCCAAAGCAATTTTTATCAAAACTGAGTTTTACAATGCAAATGGTAGCTGATCACCCATATTTTCATAATACTGGATGAACTCATAAACTTTGATCTGAAAAAGTTTGGAAAGACAGACAAATTGGTTGTCTCATCACATAAGAAGCAATGGTACGAATCAAGCTTAAAATGCGATTTTCTCGGCTTGCTGATTTTTGCTATGGGACCGACATGCGAAGAGCGGCAGTATAACGAACCTACAATAAACGATTGAAATGCACTTGGAAGTCATGTCGTTGAGAATAAAATTTTACTGACTGCACATAGCAATGATTGCAATTCATCAACTAGTTGCAACTCATCATCAGTGACCGTCCATTCCCAATGTACAAGTTTCAGTGACTCCATATTTAAGGATCAAAAACGACGCCGGCCACGTCCTTTCAAACAGGTGGGAATAGGGAAGTAACTTTAGAGTGAACTTTGTTGTTTTGGAGACCGTGTTTATTTCTAGGTCCCCACAAAGGTCACAGGAGAAGTGAGTTTATTGGTTAGGATGGATTCGTTGGATCAGGATTCACCTTGATAAGTGATGCGATCGTAGATTTGATATGTTGAATTGTATTTCAAAATTCACACGAATAATAGTTGCGATTTAATGCTGAGTAAATGATGCGACCCAGTAATGTAAATAAACCAGGGATAAAACCCTCGATCTTCTGCTCAATTATCAAAAACGGTTGAACTAGACAACTGAGCCCTTTACATTACAGCAAACCATTACCACCGACGATTGTTCATTCCCGGTGACATGAAGTTATTCAAATGGAATGATATCCCGCATCGAACATAGGTCATATTTTACCGTGAAAACCGACCGTTTACGCGAGTTCTATCTCACCAGCGATTGTCTACGTATTGTCCCTCGGAAGGCTCTACTATGAATTTCGATCGATAATCGGGCATTACGGCATAAATATTGCATAATCTTAAGGTGAATCACTTTAAAATCCTTATTTTTGAGTGATCTTTTTATCACCTCGAAGCTTGAAATTTCAAGAGCACAAATATCAGCTTCCACAAAACATAACAACAATGAAATCAAAACTTCAGCAGTATAGCAAACATGGAATTCAAATCTCATGTCGTAAGAGTGTCCGAGGCTAGTACTTTACAATACTTGAAGTGGTAGGGCATATACCTCATCATGATGGCCATTTTTGGACTCTTCAAAAATCACCTTAGCGATCTCGATCGACCTCTATTCCATTCGCAGAACTCTCACCGCAATGTTAGGTTCTAATCCTTTTTCGTATTTCAAGCTTATTACTTATCGCACATTAGCTTATTGCGTGCTCTCAACTTAGTGTACTAGATGCACTTCGACAGTTATTAATTGAGAACGTTAGATGCCTTTACAATGTTTGCATTAGTATTATTGTGTGGCAAGTACAATCATACTATATGCCCAGGGAAGTCGAAACGTGTTTCAACCCGAAAAATTGCTAGAATCCATTCCAAAAATTCCAGGAATCGAACCCAGTCACCGTGCCATGGTTTTGCTTTATAGCTGCGACTGAGCTAAGGGAGGCTTCAAAGGCACACGTCAACATTTCAAAATCTAATCGGTCAAGTGCCAGCCTGTATGTGATCGCTATCGCGACATTTATTTTCTACCTTGTCGAATCGACCATATGTAACGCGAGATCGAGGTTTTTTTTCCGCCGGGTAGCAAATAGGAATTAATAACAATTTAAAAAATGAATTGCGCAATCGAAGCATCACTTGATAAGCTGCAAAACCTTTTCCTGTTGTATTTGAGGTTTTGGACGCTAGATAAGAACCTCCTTTATCAAACTATGTGGTAGAATTAGCGCGAAATCTGTTTGCATAGCAGTGGTTATGAAAAGAGAAAGTCGATTAAGAGAATCGATCAAAGCAGATAGGTTCATCCAAGTCGTCCTGGCCCTGAGTTTAGATGTGGATTGAGGGTCTCCCAGCTTGCTATATTAGGCAAGTACACACTTACTAGCGAACTTTCACTGCCTGATGATGATCATAATTCCAGTGCCTTCAACTCACCTCAAACATCTGCCAGTCGGCAACATGGAGCCACCACAGTCTACTGCACTCCGGGACGCATTTTTGCCGTCCGCCCTGAGGAAGCTCCTATTCCACTCATCGCAGTCGAGCCCCTCCTGCCAGCAACCAGCAGTCGTCCCGGCCCTGCGTTTGAGATGGGAGAAGGGATCTTCCACATTCCTGTTATTGGCAACGGCCCTACTCGAACATCTTTCCTCCGTCAAGTGACATCTACCAGCTCCCAAATGCAACTACACGCTGAACCTTCCGTTGTTCCCGAACAGCGGAGGTCTGACATAACGATTTACTATCAGAACGTTGGTGGTATGTGTCGTGTCCGGGCCGTCCAGGCTGACCAGGCCTGGAGCCGGACCTCGGGCCAATTTTACCTTTGAGGACGCTCCTCTTCGACATCTCAACCGCTCGTGTATAGATTCGTCGGAAAACTGACCGGAAACTCAGTGTACTTCATATACCCTCCTTTTTCTTATTGTTCTTCAGTTGATCAATTCACACACTGGACAAAACCGAGATTTGTTTTATATTTATTTATCAACAGCTTACTTGCTCTTACTTCCTACATCGCTCGTGGAAGATTATCATCTGGCCGTCATGGATCACTGCTACGACATTTTAGCTTTGACCGAAACATGGCTCAATTATCGAACCATTTCAAACTATGTCTTTGGTGCTGGCTACGAAATATTTCGCTGCGATCGAAACACGAATAATAGTAGGAAAACTACTGGGGGAGGCGTCCTTATCGCAGTTAATTCCAAGCTGAAAGCAGAAGTTATCGAGGACGATTCCTGGAACAGGGTTGAACAAATGTGGGTGGCTATTCAACTTGGTGATCGTCAATTGCTTCTCTGTGCAGTGTACATTCCTCCAGATCGAACCCGTGACTTGGAGCTTATTGACGCACATTGTCGATCCATCTTGGCCGCTTCAGACAAAGCAGGCCCTTCCGACGAAGTTATTGTTCTTGGCGATTTTAACCTACCGGACATTGCATGGACTCCAACCCATAGTGGTTTCTTTTGTCCTGATCACGAGCGTTCATCTTTCCACGTAGGAACCATCCAGCTCCTGGACAGTTATAGTACCGCAATTCTGTCACAAATCAATGGCCTGTTGAATGAAAACAACCGCACCCTGGATCTCTGCTTTGTGAGTGCTCGTGATACAGCTCCTTTCCTCTCCACGGCACCCGAACCTTTAGTCAAGGTAGTGCATCATCACCCTGCTTTAGTTATCGTGATCGAAAATAATATTGTCCATGATTTCACCAGCACTCCAAACGCTGTGTCATATGACTTCCGTAGAGCTGACCATTGCAGTATCGTCCATGTGCTGTCTAATCTAGATTGGGAGCATATTCTAGATCATGTAGACGTCAACATTGCTGCACAAACCTTTTCTCACGTCTTGGTATATGTCATTGACAGACACGTTTCCAAAAAGATCATCCATATCGACTCTCGCGTCCCGTGGATGACGAAAGATCTTCGCTCGTTGAAAAGAACTAAGAAGGCTGCTCTCAGAAGATTTACTAAACTCCGCACACTGCCACTGAAATGCTACTATGTCAGACTCAACCACGAGTATAAGCGGTTAAGTCGTCTCTGTTTTCAACGCTATCAAAGGAGGATTCAACGGCGGCTAAAATCACACCCGAAATCCTTCTGGAACTTTGTAAATGAGCAACGCAGGGAAGTCGGCTTACCCTCTTCCATGATTTTTAATGGTGAAACTGCTGGAAATCAACAAGACATTTGCAACCTGTTCTCAGCCAAATTTGCTAGTGTGTTTGAAGCCGAGCAACTCTCCGCTAATATCATTACTTCCGCGGCCAGTAATGTTCCTTTGATCAACCAAACGCTCAGCATGGTCGAAGCCACTACAGATACGATTTCTAGAGCAGCATCTAAACTTAAGACTTCAACTAAGGCTGGACCCGATGGTGTTCCGTCGATTATTCTTAAAAAGAACATCACTTGTCTTTTAGATCCACTGCGCCGCATATTCCAGCTCTCTCTTTCCAGCGGCATCTTTCCGTCTTGCTGGAAGACTGCGGATATGTTTCCTGTTCATAAAAAGGGAAGCAAACGCGACGTAAACAACTACCGGGGAATCACGTCGCTGAGTGCTGTATCAAAACTTTTTGAATTGGTTGTCATAGAGTCCCTAAATGCGCATTGCAGGCAATATCTAAGTACAGATCAACACGGATTCATAACTGGGCGTTCCACAACTACGAACCTGCTGTGCCTAACGTCTTACATCACAGACAGTTTGATTGCTCGGACCCAAACGGACGTTATCTACACAGATCTTACGGCAGCCTTCGATAAGCTGAACCACGAAATTGCGATCGCTAAGCTTGATAGGCTAGGGATCGGTGGAAATCTTTTGATATGGTTTCGTTCATACCTCACGGAGCGCCAATTGACAGTAACTTTGGGTACTTGTCGCTCAGCAAGCTTCTGCGCAAAGTCCGGTATACCTCAGGGCAGCCATCTGAGACCAT